TTGTGAAACAAAGGGGGGCCTAGCGAAAAACGTTTGGGAACCACTGGTTTTAGCAATGGTATTTCCTTTTTCCAGTTCATCCAGATTAATGGTGTTTCTCACCAACAATACTTAAGTTAAAATATAAACAGGTCCAACAACTAGTTCGCCTGGTACCGACTAGTAACCGTAGCAACACTTTGTTGACTAGTCGCACACATCCCCGGTGTTTTCAGAGCTCCTCCTGAGCTGGAACAGCTGCTGGGAACGAGGTCGATGAACAAACCGGTTCTGATCTCTGTGGGGACTAAACCTGAATCCTCTTCTTGTGCTTGTCTCAATGCAGCCTGTGGGCGCCGGCGTGGACGTGTTTGAGGGGAGACCCAAGCTGAGTGCGTGGCGGGACAGAGTCCAGGAAGCTATTGGAAAGGAGCTCTTCGATGAGGCACACCAGTATATCCTGGGAGCACAGGAGAGTGTGAAAAGCATGGACTCCAGCAAGATGCAGGTCTTCAAGCCCAAGATCCTCAGGCTCTTCATGTGAACAGGACGGCACCGATTCTGTGCAAACGACTTGGATTCATCTCATATGTGTCGATACAACAAATACACACAACGTCTTACATGTATGTCTGTACTAACAGGATAATGTAGTATGCATTCCAGATGTTTCAAGTAAACTCAGTACACTCTTGTTGCATCGTGCAGGGCTTCTCCATGGAGACAGGCAGACATGGCTCTGCAGACCTGATTATGTAACAGAGGAATGTGGAACATGAGCTTTCAGAATAAATGCACAGTTATAAAAGCTCTGTCCTCATATATAATGAAGCTGCTGTTAATCTTCTTTCAAGCCTAATAAAGTGTCTGCAGCACTCTGTCAGCCTGGCTTCCTCCCTTTGTGTTTACTGTGTTGGTGCAGATCTGTGTGGATGTTTGCAAATGACGGTGCACTGCTGCCACCTAGTGTTTCATATTTACATGCACAGTAATCAGTGCAAGTGTAATACACAGACATACTGTAGAACAAACAAGACTTGTACTCACAAGCAGAGACGGCCCTTTCACGTAGAAATTGACTGTTCTTCAAAGATGGCCGCCCACCACAACATGCTACTTTACCAGAGGTCTACACTACAAAGCCAGTTCAGTGTACCCAGGATGTCTTCATTGTCTGGATTCACTTACTCTAACATTAGTGGTCAGGATAATCTCTCACACAGGGCTGGTTATCAACCAGCTCGGTTCACCCAGGGTTGAAGAGGTGGGGTTGGCACCATCTGACCAGTCTAAAAGGGACATTTTGCTTTATCCACAGAAAAGGATCCTATGAGTCCAACCTACTCCAGAGATGTTAAAAAACCGATTAAAGTCTATAAAGAACTTAACAAATACAGCATTAAGAAAGAAAGGAGATTGAGGCAGCAGCAGCAAATCCTTATTATGGTGAACATCCACAGAGGGCTGGAAAGCAGTACCCACAGCACCACCTCAGTGGAAATGACAAATACATTTATTTGAATGTAATTTCCCCGAACAAATACAAACAGCTGCTCCAAGGCAGTCATTGTCATTAAAGTACATTTATTGACGGTGAACTGAAGTACTCAAAGAAAGGATGTTATTGAAAATGTTCTTTTCATACATGGATATGTGTGTTGTTCTAAAATAAATAATAAAGGTGAGAGAAAGTCAAAGTCAGGATGCAGGTCGGTGTCCTGCAGGTTTTAGGTCTCACCCTGGGTCAACA